TTTGGTATTTTCATGCAAATTCTTCTGCTAGTTGGGGTTTAGTCCACTTTTGTATCCTTCCCTTCTAGGCTCAGGGTTCGAAGATTATCTTCTGTGTCTGTGTTAATTGGTTTTCCTTTTCTTTGTTGAAGAGCATCTGTGCAGTCCTTCTGCCTAGTCTGCCATCTTCTGGAAGTCCCTCCCCTTTTTTTTAAATTTTATTTTAAGAGTTTGTTTTACATTCAGCATTATGTGTACATTTACTTTTACTCCCCATTTGCCATGCCCAACCCTAACCCAGTCTCCTCCCCTCCCTACCCTTCCCCTGTGCCCCTCATAGTTATGCATTCCCGTTTGTCCTGCATTTTCTCCTTGTGAATGTTGCCCCTCTGGTGCCCCATGTTCTATTGTTCTAAGGGATGCATTTCCATAGAGTAAGTGGGTGCGTCACCCTGGGTGGAGTGGTCTGCATGTATATCTTGTTAACTGTTGGGCTGAGAGCCAGCCCATGGGAGTGAGTTTTATTCCAGGTGCAGAATATATTCCAGGGCCATAGTATTGGGGGTCTCACCAGACTCCATCCAACCAGTAATTGTGGTCATTGTTGAGTTTTTGGATTTTCTTACACGTTTTTCCTCCCAGGATCTCCAGATTTGATCCTTTCCTGAGTGGTTGACATTGGTAGCCAGACACCGTCTAGTTCTTCGGGTCTCGAGGACTGTTGTGTCCTAGCGCTGATTGCTTCCATATGCCCTTGCTTTTTGCATTCTTCTTCACTTCTGATGCTAGGAGAGCATTAGGTGCATTTTAGATGGCCACTTGAAAGCTTTTAAGACCCCAGTCACTACTCACTGATGTAGGATGAGGAACAAGGCTTTTATGTATTTTGTTGTGCCAATTGAGTCTGGTGTCCCCCAGTACTATGGTCCTGAGACGGTAGATCCATTGGATCTCTCTCCCATAGTGGATGCTAGAAATTGTTGCAGTATGCAGAGTGCACATTTACTTTATGAAATGGATCTGGAGATAATACTAAGTATTGATATTGACAAAATTACATAATTATTATATTTTGACAATGTGTGTAGCAGCATGTTACGAAATTTTTAAGCTTACAGTTTAAAAGCTGTCATGTACATATATTTTTTGAATGTTGTATTTCTACAAATTTTATTCTGCATACATAATTAGGATGGTGGTGAGGGTGGTTGTGTGCCATCAAATCTATTGTTATAGACTCCTGGTGACCCTGTATGATATAGTAGAACTAGCCCATAGGGTTTTCTAGGCCGTAATCTTTATGGGATCAGATCATCAAGTCTTTTCTCCTGCAGAGTCATTGGTGAGTACAAACTGCCGACTTTTATGTTAGTCGCTAAGTGGTTAACTGTTGTGTCAGTAGGGTCCTTTCATAGTTAGGGTAGTAATATAATAAATTTTGAAATCATAAACCTTTGTTAGCTTTAATGGGTGATTTCATATTTGCACAGCAGTGTATCTAAGTTGCGAGTTCTGGTAGCGTAGTGCCTAAGGCATTTGACTGCTAACCAGAAGGCTGGCGGTTCAAACCCATCAGCCACTCTTCAGAAGGGAGTTTGGGCAGTGTCCTTCCATAGTGATAACTACCTCAGAAACCCAAGGAGGGGTCGCTATGACTCAGATCCAACTCAACAGCAGTGCGTTGCATTGTTGTTGTAGCTAAGTAATTTATATCTGAAAGAGGAAATATTTAAGAAATGTATAATAAAGTATGAGTATATAACCTGCCTTTTTTTTAATGTATTTTTGTTGTTGTTGTTGTTGTTGAGAATGTACACAGAAGGACATTTACCAGTTCGACATTTTCTACATGTATAGTTCAGTACTGTTGATTACATTCTTCAAGTTACATGCTCATTCTCACGTTCCTTTTCTGTGTTGTTCCTCTTCCGTTAATATAAACTCACTGCCCCCTGAATTTCCTGTCTAATCTTTTGAGTTACTTTTGTTGATTTGATATGGGTAGATTTTAAAAAAGAGCACAGTCCTCAAGTCACACTTTACTACTTAAGCTGAACTATTACCTTAAGACTTCAGGATATTTTTAGTTTTTGGCTTAAAGATTATTTCAGATCAGTAGCTTTTGGGGTTCACCCAGCCTCTCTGCCTCTGTAAAGTCTGGATTCCATTAGAATTTTAAATTTTGTTCTGAAGTTTTCCCCCTTTTGTTCAGGATTCTTCTATAAAATCTTTGTTCAAAATGTTTAGTAATGGTAGCTGGGTACTATCCAGTTCTTTTGGTCTCATGGGAAAGGAACAAGTTATTCATGGAGACAATTAGCCACACATAGTATTTTCTCCTCCTATTCTTGACTCTCCAGATGAATAGAGGCCAGTTGTTTCTTGGTTGGCTGCTTGCAAGCTTTTAAGACCCCAGGCACCCCCCAGAGGCAATGTACAACAAAGTACTAAACACATTATTAGGCCAATTAACTGGAAGATCCCAGGAAACCACAACCCTAAACCTGCACACTAGGAACCAAATTCTGTGAGGTGTTTGGTTATACAAAAGCAGCTTAGCAACCTTTTTCCCTCCCTTGTCCTTGTAACATGGCTTCTTATGTAGATTGAGTGTGTTTTTTATTTCATTATGGAATATGCAGATTTCTTGTTACTGTTATCCTCTTATTTTCAGGTTAAGAGCATTAATTGCTTAGGCTTTCTATATCTCAGTTCCTCATTTGTAAAATGAAAATATTACCTACTTTGTAGGTTTGTTGTGGAAAGTAAATGAAACTACCCTTATAAAAGGCCTAGTACATAGTACATAATGTAATCATTATTGGTGCCACTAATACTGTTCAGATAAATCTACACTAATGGAGCTCAACTTTTACTGCTAAACATTAAGTTATTGGGGAGAATCACTCCCTTCTCCCAATATTACTCTAGAATTACTCGTCAAGTTAGAGAGGTTTATTTCTAGCATTAGTAATGTGGTATACAAATACAGTGTTAACAATGAATTCTGTTTTTAAAAGACTGAAAGGAGTTTCTACTCTCTTTCCATTCAATTCAACTGACGTTTATTGAGTTATACATACTATGAGGAAGAAAGAATACTAGGCTTGAAGTCCAAAGAACTTTCTACAAGTGCATCTGTTACAATAAAATTTTCTATCTTTGTTTTAAGTTGATTGTTACTACTTTTGTAAGAATTTGAGTATGCTTCTATTTTTAAAGGTGGTGGACCAAGGAAAAGAAAAGTATCTTCTTCTTCAGAGCCATATGAGGATGATGAATTTAATGATGATCAGTCTGTAAAGAAGAAAAGATTAGATCATGTAAGTTACATTTTATGTATCAAAATTAAGCAATATCAAAATTAGCTGCTTATGTAAAGAGTATGTTGAGTCTGAATATCAGAACTAAAAAATCCACTTAATATATTTTTAATTTTCAGAGCTAATACAGGGATTTTGTGCTTATATTTAAGTTGTGACTGTGTTTGCTTTTTTAAAAGTTTACCCAGGATTAATTGTGTATTTCTAATTATAAAGGTAATTCTTTAAAAGATATTCTAATATTATAAAGTAACTTATTTAGGAAAATACAACATTTTAACACTAAATTTTGTTTCATAAAAATTATACCTACATGTAGCTATATAATACCTATTAAAAAAAATCTACGCCACTATCACCATTTTCTACATCCCAGAGGCAAAATATTAATTCTTCTAGATAACTTATGATATTTACCTCCATATCTTAAAAATAATAGTGGTTTTGCCTTTATTTAGAGTTTCTCTGGCTTTTCATTAACTTTTACTTTCCAAATGGAATTACTCAGAAGCATCCCAAAGAATCACTTGTTTCTAGATATAACCTTCCCTGTCTTCATTAACAATGGCACAGTTTCTTGTAATCATAATCAGTAGCAGTTACCCCAAGTAACACAGTAATTTCTTTTTGTGTGTGTGTATGTGTATCTGGCTTGTGATTTAGTGGCACAAGAAGCCCAAAATAACCAGTTGGCAGTTTCTACCTTAATTCAATGGAACAATTGTTATATACTCTTTGGAAGCATTCTTTCCTTGAAAACTGATACTAATGGGAAATAAAATTTCTATGAGTAGATTTTTAGGTGTAAAGGGCAGCTATAGTGTCAAGGACTAGGTCTACACTTTAGTTTCCAGACTCATTCCTAATGGCTGTGGGAGAAGTGGGATCATATATTGATTGCTGATTGAGAGCAACTTATATAGCCTACTAGACCATACTTCAGGTTGGTCAGGTATTATCTACAAATTCACATGCCGAATTTTCTGTAAGTTATTCCACTGTTCTGTAGGACATCTGCTTTTAGATATTTGAGCAAATGGTGAGATAAGTGAGCTCTATGGGCATGAATCCACTGATGTACTTTTCCTCAATGAAACTAGCTCCCTGGTCAGAAGCATTGTGTCACAGTGTACTATGTACAGTGTACTATAATCCTTTCCATAAAAAGTGTTATTAGAAACAGGTAGATAGGGAAGGGAAATCCATACTCAGAGTGAGTATATATTACTGTCCCTCCCATGATGAAAATGGTCCATTGTAATGCACTAGATGGTTCACTGAACTTCCCAAGAAATGGTGCTATATTGGAGACTCATTCTTAGTTGGCCTCTGCTCTTGCTAAATTGAGTCCTCACCAGTAGTGATAGGGAAGTAAATCTTGGTGTGGGACAATTTTATCTTGTTGATCACCATACATGGCTGCTACCTCTTTTGCCATGGCCACTTTGGATATGGGCCCATAGGTAAGCATCCAAGTGACCACAGTCATTGATTTTCACAGAATGCATTATCTGATCCACCTGATTATTTCAGACCTCCTCTTCAGTAGATGGCCTTTGCTGAACATTTCCACCAAAAGCTATTATCCATACATTTTATTTTCATTCTGAGATGTTCAACACTGCACTTGCATAGATTTCTTAGCTCTTGATCTTCCAATCTTGTTCTTTATCTACTGTACATGGTAATATTTATTGTCAGTCTATGCCTCTGGCAGTCTCTTTCCATACAAATAGACAAGAAAATGTACTGCGCAAAATTGTGAACTGCTCTTCAGGGCTATTTTCTTAATTGGAATTACAGCATCAGTTTACTTTTGGCTGGTTCTGTGATTAATGCAAAAATTCTTTATAAATGAGGTTTTATTTGGTCATAAAGAATTCCCATATATTTATATTTTGGTTGAAAGAGGAGCAGCAGTAAAGCAGGAATAGGTACCATGGGAGACTGAGCCACCTATACATGTAACTTGTGCCTCCTGAATATGTTTGAGTCCAATCTTCAGTACAACATTTCCACTTGATGATAGGTTACTGCTCTGTGCTCAACTTTAGGCTTGGTTGATCAGATACACAGATCACATAGCAGTTCAAGTTTCATGGACACTTAATGTCCCATGGTCAACTGTTCTTCTTCTAGACAGGACACACTACCAGAGCCAATAACTGTTCCTCAAAAAAGAGAACAGTCAGTTCTATTATAACACTTGTTTTAAAATTGTGAATTTGTTCCAGTTCAATTCATATATTAGAGAACAGTTTGAGTACCACCTAATTTTTTTTTTAATGTGTAATACTGGCTGTGAGAAATACTAGGTGAACACAGAAAATGGCACCCAGGTAACCTGAACTACGTAGGAATACACAAAATATACACACCTCAAACATACACCTCACTGATCATGCATCTTATCCTACAAGGTTGTGTTTTACTATGCTTTCACCTTTGGAAACTTTCCTATTTGAAAAAAAAGCACTCATTCACTATCACAAACGTATCTAAGCATCCTGATTCAAAAATGCCAAGCAGTGCATGCAAAAGGAAAGTTTTTTGTATTGAGGAGAAGTTTGAAACAAAATGATTTTAAGAAATGAGAGCATGTGTTATCCTTAGCGGTAATTGTAAAAGAATTCACATTATGAGTCCTCAGAGACAACAATGGCTGCAAGTGCTGTGTTAGCATTTAGAACAAGGCTTAAAGAAATAGAAGAAAATGAAAGATTGTTGAGCATATTGACTAAAGACCAAACAGTGAAAAAATTTTGAACAGCCTTTCTCACATAAATCTTTGAATCTGTGTCCGAAGACCTTAAACTGAAATACCATGTAGAAATGGCTCCTTTTAGTGCTAGTAGTGGCTGGTTTAGTTTTCAGATACTGCTAAAATCTCCAAAGCCTTCAGCCATCAGGCAAGCCCCAAGTGCAAATGAGAAAGCTGTAGAATTTTCCAGCAGTGATACAGAAGTAAATTGATGAAACAGATACTTGCTATGAATGCATGCCTCAAAGACAAAAATCATGTTTCAGGATCTAAGGCTCTGAAAGGTAGCATAATTGGTACCACTAGTGCCAGGTAGAGACTGTGTGTTTGAAGCTGGGTCCAATAGTTTTATCATTCACCAAAATGTGAGCCTTTTGAAAGGAGTTGTTAAATTCAGCTTGGGTTTTATTACTGGTATAGCAAAAAGGATGGATGCATTGATACTTTCACTGAGTTCTTCCCTTTTATAGAGGATTATTGCAAAAACAAAAATATTAAAGCAAAACAAATTCTTATAGTGTGCCTACCAATCTATCCTTTTACAGTAGCCAGACTCAATCCAAATGTCAAATTTGTCTTTTTTCCTTAAAAAAATAAAAAAGAAACCACTTCCCTCTCTGTTACAGTCCATTGATAAATATGTGATAGCACCATTTATAACTTAATATTTCTGGTGACCATTTACTATGTTAATTGTAGCTATTAAACTTGAGAATGCAGAAGTGGTTGTAGAACTTTAGAAGAGATTTAACACTAGAATAACCATTGACACCACTGTAAAAGCCTAGAATGATAGAACAAGAGTGTTTGCATTGTATGTGGTAGAAAATGTTTTGGACTTGACTCCTGATTTTGAAATATTTGATACTTCAGAGAAACTTTGAAAAATCAAAGAATAAATTGCATTTGAAGAGGTAGATAATGAAGATATTGAAGAGCTAGGTGCTCACTCTGATGATCTAACCATAAAGCACTTAGAATGTCTTGTTACTGATGGCTATTAAATGTAGAAGATAATGAAGAAAACCAAAAGTCTATATCATGACAGCATAACCCATCAAGTTATCAGATGTCTTAAGTATTCCTGAAAAACAATCGTACTGGCTTAAAGATAATACTTTATTGTTGAATGTAGAATAATCACGCATATTATTTGGAACCACACAGGCAGTTTTAGTATGAAAAGAGGAGACTAGCAAAGCAGCAGCAATTATATTTTAAAGCAACACAGACCACAAGCCATCTTTTATATTTAATGTTAACAGCTATGTCCATTTTCAGATATCACTCCTACCATTACATAATAACTCACAAACTATAGCACTTTCAGTGCCCACTTTATTATAGTATTTATGTGTTTATTAGCTATTTAATTTCTGTAAAACTGGGCTAAAATTTAGTGCCTAAGGCACTTGACTCATAACCAGAAGGCTGGCGGTTCAAACCCAGCAGCCACTCCTCTGAAGGAAGGTTTGGGCAATTTACTTCCATGGTGATACTACCTTGGAAACCCAGAGGGGTCGCTATGAGTTAGATCTGACTTGATGGCATTGAGTTCTCTTTTTTAATATGTCACTGACAAAGTTTTGGAATACTGTGCCCCTAGCACAATTTACTCATAAACACTATGTTTTTTATTTTCATAACATGGTAATTTTTTGAAATGGAGCTTCCACCAGTCTTCCTCGACCAGTAATCCTGGTCTTTTTTATGACTCTGAGTTGTTTCCCACATTTTTCACCTACACTATCTGGGACCTCCTGTTGTGACCCCTTTCAGAGCATATAGCATTAGTAACCGGGTACCATCTAGTTCTCAGAGTTGTAGAGGCTGGGGTTCATGTGCTCCATTGTTGTTGTTGTTGTT